GCTTGAGCCACCGCGCCCGGCCCCCGGCTAATTTTTTGTATTTTTAGTAGAGACGGGGTTTCACCATGTTGACCAGGATGGTCTCGATCGCTCGACCTCGTGGTCCACCCACCTGGGCCTCCCAAAGTGCTGGGATTACAGGCTTGAGCCACCGCGCCCGGCTAATTTTTTTTTTTAATAAGAGACCAGGTCTTGCTATGTTGCCCAGGCTTGTCTCAATCTCCTGGTCTCAAGCAATTCTGCCTCTGCATCCTGAGTAGCTAAGATTATGGGCATGTGCCAACTTGCCCAGCTATTAATGTGTTTGTTTTTCTTTTTCTTTTCTTTTTTTCCTGATGTGCCTCTTTGGCACACAGTGATGTTTCTTGATTTGAGTGTAGCTACCCAGGTACATTCCTTTTGTAAAATTTCATAGATTTTTTTCCTAAACTTTTTTGTAGAGTTCTTAGTATATGTTATTTACTTCAATGAGAAGTTGAAAAGATAGTTGTCAATGCAGTAGCTTTTTGTAGGACTTAAATGTTATGCAACATAAGGTGATTAGTTAGGTTACTTTTATTTTTAGCTCTGTGCTTTTACATATGTAAATGACAAGTATGTAATTATAACAAATGCATAGTTGATCCATCCATATGTACAAATATCCTAAAACATTTACATATATAGCATGTACTGTGATTTTTTTTTTTTTTTTTTAGGCAGAGTGTCAGGTCAGGAGCAGTGGTTCATGCCTGTAATCCCAGCACTTTGGGAGGCAGAGGCAGGAGGATCACCTGAGACCAGGAGTTTGAGATCAGCTTGGCCAACATGACAAAACCCTGTCTCTACCAAAAATACAACAAATTAGCCAGGCGTGGTGGCACCTGCCTGTAGTCCCAGCTACTCAGGAGGCTGACGCAGGGGAATTGCTTAAGCCCAAAAGTTAGAGGCTGCAGTGAGCTGTGATTGAGCCATTGCACTCCAACCTGGGTGACAGAATGAGATCCTGATTTAAAAAAAAATTTTTTGACAGAGTTTCACTTTGTTGCCCAGGCTGGAGTGCAGTGGTGCAATCTCAGCTCACTGCAGCCTCAGTCTCCAACCTGGGTGAGAAATCATTCTCCTTTTTAGTCTCCCAAGTAGCTGGGATTACATAGGTGCGCCACCACACCTGGCTAATTGTTGTATTTTTAGTAGAGACAGGGTTTCACTGTGTTGGCCAAGCTGGTCCTGAACTCCTGACCTCAAGTGATCTGCCCTCCCAAAGTCCTGTGATTATAGGACTTAAGCCACCAGGCCCGGCCAAGATTAAGTTGAATTATATAAAACAAAGTTACATCTTCTGTATACCTTAACTTGTTGGCTGAGATTTGTGTTAGAATAGACATAACAGATTTTGTACTTTAAATAAAGCACTATAAACTTGTACATTATTTGAGCATACTCATTAGATTCAAGCTGTAATTTATCAATTGCATAATGGATTCACTAGTAAACTTTTTTTTTTTTTGAGATGGAGTTTTACTCCTGTTGCCCAGGCTGGAGTACAATGGCACGGTCTCGGCTCACTGCAACCTACACCTCCAGAGTTCAAGCGATTCTCTTGCTTCAGCCTCCCAAGTAGCTGGGATTACAGGCGTGCACCACCATGCTCAACTAATTTTTGTAATTTAGTAGAGACAGGGTTTCGCCATGTTGGCCAGACTGGTCTCTGGTCTCTAACTCCTGATCTTAGGTGATCCTCCCGCCTCCACCTCACTAGTTAACTTCTAGGATATTATGACTAATTAATATTAATCTAATTTTAGTACATATTTTCTTTACATTAAAATAAAGACTAGGAAGGCATATAATTCAGTATTTTAAAAATAATTCCATAAAATGTTCTTCAAGTATAGAAAAATAAACTCCTTAAGTCCTGACAAATCTATATAGTCATACCGCTGGAAACAGGAAAATACAAATCCAGATATACATACACATATATATATATATATTTATATTTATAGACGGGGTTTCACCATGTTGGTCAGGTTGGTCTTGAACTCCCGACCTCAGGTGATCTGCCTGCCTTGACCTCCAAAGTGCTTGGATTATAAGGCGTGAGCCACCACGTCTGGCCTAAATCCAGATACATTTTAAGTCAAAAGATAAAGCATGAGGTTTATCAAAAAATAAATTTGAGGACAAAATAGTTTTTCTTTTCTTAGCATCAGCTAAGCCTTTTGTAAAGATATAAGCTTTTAATATTCCCATTTGATTCAGTAACTGTGAGTCAGCATAAGCTATTACAATAAATACTGCCATTGATTCAAGGTGCACTGTGGTTTCTCCAACTCAGCACTCTCTAATCGAAATATAACGTGAGCTACATGTGCAATTAAAATTTTCTAGTAGCCACATACAAAATTATCCAGAAACAGGTGAAATTATTTTAATAATATACTTTCATACAATAAATTGTTTCACCTGTAATCCCAGCACTTTGGGAGGCCGAGGCGGGTGGATCACAAGGTCAAGAGATCGAGACCATCCTGGTCATCATGGTGAAACCCCGTCTCTACTAAAAATACAAAAAATTAGCTGGGCATGGTGGCGTGTGCGTGTAATTCCAGCTACTCAGGAGGCTGAAGCAGGAGAATTGCCTGAACCCAGGAGGTGGAGGTTGTGATGAGCTAAGATCGCGCCATTGCACTCCAGCCTGGGTAACAAGAGCGAAACTCCATCTCAAAAAAAAAAAGAATAAATAAATAAATAAATAGTTTCAATACATATTCAATATGAAAAGATTAATAATTTTTTTTCGGCCGGGCGCAGTGGCTCAAGCCTGTAATCCCAGCACTTTGGGAGGCCGAGGAGGGTGGATCACGAGGTCGAGAGATCGAGACCATCCTGGTCAACATGGTGAAACCCCGTCTCTAATAAAAATACAAAAAAAAAAAAAAAATTAGCTGGGCATGGTGGCGTGTGCCTGTAATCCCAGTTACTCGGGAGGCTGAGGCAGGAGAATTGCTTGAACCCAGGAGGCAGAGGTTGCGGTGAGCCGAGATCGCGCCATTGCACTCCAGCCTGGGTAACAAGAGTGAAACTCGGTCTCAAAAATAATACTAATAATACTACTACTAATTTTTTTTCGAATTCTTCCAAAAAATCTGTGTGTATTTTATACTGGTAGCACATCTCCACTCAGACAGCGGCCCATAGGGTTTTCTTTGTGAAAGTGATACTGAGCTGCTGGAGGGATTAAAAAAAATTGATTTTGCTTTCTCAATAAGCACAACTTGTGGAAAAAGAAATAAAATTCGTTTTGCAGTTAAAGAAGCAAATCCCACTGACAGGTACAAGGATAGGTAGAGGGCAGGCACTTGGAAAAAAAAAAGAAATGTGCATACTAAGAATCAGCAACTTGAAAACAAAAACCAATTTTATGCAACTAAATAACATCTGCACTTGGGAAACATGATGATGCATACATTTGATTCAATTCAATTAAAAAAAATTAAGTAATTACCATGTGCTAATCACAGTAATTCGGTAAGAATTTACCAAAACGATGATTATAGGTTCAGCAGGAACTTGGAAAAGTCACAAAGTAGTATGATTTTATTTACAGAATCATCTCCTGTCATCTGGAGTGACTTTTGTCCTATCACTTACATTTACTACAATTACACTGTGTTTACTTGTCCTGTCTTCACCAAGAGACTGTAAATTCAACGGCAAGGATCTTTTTTCCCTATCTCTAATGTTTAAAGAGTCAGTGTCTGATATATACCAGGGACTAAACAAACATTCTTTGAATTAAATTAATTAAAAAATAAAGAAATGAAAGAATGAATAGGGTTTCTGCTCCCTTGCCTTTTTTGCTCCCAGGACTTACCACTTTCTAACAAACTATAATTTACATTTTGTTTACTGTCTGTATCTACTCTGGAATATAAACTTCATGAGGGAGGGATCTTTTCGTTCACTGTTTCCGAGTGTTACAATTTCCAAACACAGATATTCAATAAATATTTGTTGAATGATTATTTTAAAAACTGCTAATGGGAGAATTTCTGGAATTTTATTTGGTAACATCTCCATGTTGCTTTAAGACATTCCTCACTGACACCGATTGAATTCTTCAAACCTTAATTTACTCCTGATATTCTGGATCTACTGGAGCATCTTTAGTCATAATCCTCATAATAGGGCTTATCAAGTATTTATACATCTTCCTTCTCCTTCATGAAAATACATTTGTTAGCTTTCCCTGTGAACAGAGAAAAACTTCATGGAGGGGGCGAATGGGAACTTGCCACGGTACTTACTTTAGTAGCAATTAGCTGTTGTCTCCCCAATCAGTGAGACAGCCAATCTCCTTAAATATCTGGCTCATAGAACTGCATAGATTCCTGATTGTAGCCTTGCTACAATCTATGTTAGGGGTGGCCAAATAAGACCCTCAATTTTGGATAAAGCTGACAGAACCAGGATTTGGTTTGTAGTCCAGTGAAATGAACTCCATGGCTGTCCAGAATATTTCCTTGAGATTTTGATAAGAGATTAAGATGCCAGTCCTGTATGGACCCAGTAAATTCAATTCTGGGAAGGCCTTAAATGTTTCATCCTATGATTTTCCAGAATAAAATAACAGAGCTCAGTTCTGCCTAAGGTTGATTCCTGTATTTTTTTCCTTCTTGTGCTCATAGCACCTAGCACATTTTGTCTAACCAAAATAAAACATTTAACTTGATTTATGAAAACTAAACTCAATTCTTTTAAAATTAGACACAATTCATATGGTCTATTGTTCAATGGAAGATCAGATAAGCAAAGTGGAATGAGTAAAATGAAATATTAAACATGTCTGTGTAAATCAACATGAAAAGGTACGAAGGTATTGCAAGTTACAAACTACTAAGTACAGTGAGAGTTCACTGTTAAACATTTTTCTAAAGTTTATATATATTCATGTAGTGTTATTTTTGCAATGTTTTGTTTTTAAAGTATAAAAACAAAATCAGCACATTTCCAAGTAATCTTCAAAACACATTTATTTACTAAATCACCTGACATCGACATCTAAGATAATTTCAACAAATACAATGTTTAAGAAAAAAATTGTGGTATATAACGTATTTGTCTTAAGAAAAAAGTCTTATTTACAAGTTGAGGAATAAAAGTATTTCTTTTAATTAAAAAAACATTCATTATGCAGTGCTACCATAATAAAAGTGAATATCCCAATAGCTCAAGTATCTAGTGAAGTATTAAGAGGTAAACATTTTTTCAGTCATATTCAGAAAATCTAATGTGTTTACTTGCTTGTTGAGTCTTCGCCAGTCTGATCTTTTCAGCTTTGGTGATTAACTATAGAGAAATAATCAGTAATTAGAATGTAGTGGATAACTTAAAAAAATAAAAAACAAACTATGACTAGAAAAAATTTCACAACTATGAGTTTGAATGAAATTTTTAAAAAGAGAAGATGTCCAGGCTCGGGGGTTCATGCCTGTAATCCCAGCACTTTGGGAAGCAGAGGCGAGTGGATCACTTGAGGTCGGGAGTTCAAGACCAGCCTGACCAACATAGAGAAACCCTGCCTCTACTAAAAATGCACAATTAGTCAGGCATGGTGGCACACTCCTGTAATCCCAGCTACTCAGGAGACTGAGGCAGGAGAATCACTTGAACCTGGGAGGCAGAGGTTGCAGTGAGCTGAGATTGTGCTATTGCACTCCAGCCTGGGCAAAAGTGAAACTCCATCTCAAACAAACAAAAACCAAACCAAACCAAACCAAATCAAAACAATGAGAAGACGACAAGTGAGACAATTACACTTAGGTCAAATCAATTACAAATCAATTCTTTTATTAAGACTATTTCCTATTTCTTACACCCTTACATAAATTATTGAATATTTTTAAGGAAGTCAAATGAAATTACACAGAAAAAAAAGAAAACTGTTTAAAAGGTCTAAAATATTCCAAAAGCTTCCTTGATTTAAAAATGAAGTTAAAATATTAAGCTTTGGAGTAAATGCAAATCTTTTTCTCTTAAAAATATAAATTCTAATGAGTATACATTTAAATAGTTTTAAAGTGTTTGGTGCCATATGGCCATTGGAAAGAATTCACTTTTAGATTAAACTAAAAACCTATTATTCATCAGTGAGGTGAATTAAAATCCAAAGATGTTTAGAACTCTATCATATCCATGTTGCTGTTCACAAATCTTATAAATTCTGCCTTTACCTGCTGGGTGTCAGTAATTTGTACAGAAAAGAAGTCAAATTTTTTTTTTTTTTTTTTTTTGAGACGAAGTTTCACTCTTGTTACCCAGGCTGGAGTGCAATGGCGCGATCTCGGCTCACCGCAACCTCCGCCTCCTGGGTTCAGGCAATTCTCCTGCCTCAGCCTCCTGAGTAGCTGGGATTACAGGCATGCGCCACCATGCCCAGCTGATTTTTTGTATTTTTAGTAGAGACGGGGTTTCACCATGTTGACCGGGATGGTCTCGATCTCTTGACCTCGTGATCCACCCGCCTCTGCCTCCCAAAGTGCTGGGATTACAGGCTTGAGCCACCGCGCCCCGCCCAGGAAATAGGACTTTTAAAGGGCTCATCTAACAAAAGGAAGTTCATCTTTTTCGTTTTTATTACACTTTTATAATATACATTTCTAAATTTTGACGACTATAGTTAATAGTAGGCATCAGGTACCCTACTTTGTTCCAGGAACTTTAAAATGTACTAACCTTTACATGTCTAATAATTTGTTTTAAAAATAAACTTGGTAGCTCACTAGCAACAATTATTATAAATTACCAGCATTTTTTTTGGTTATGAAACTTTTTTTTTTTTTTTTTTTTTAAAAAGAGATAGGGTCTCACTATGTTGCCTAAGCTGGAATGCAGTGGCTATTTACAGGTGTGATTCCACTACTGATCAGACCAGTATCATTTTAAGAGACAGAAAACATTACTGAAAGAGGGGCTTGCTTTAAATTATTTATTTAAGCTTGTTTGTATTATCTACTGACTATCTTAGACAAAGAAGACTAAGCTTATCATTGCTATAGGGAAACACTATGCATAAAGTCTCTCAATCTTATCTGTGGAGCCTCAAATCTACATTCTAAATACACTGTGTTTTTACTAGTAATACTATCTCTGTATAATAATTTACCACCAAACCATAAGATAGGTATCAAGACTGTTAAAGTATATCACTTGTTAAAAAGAAAAACTGTACAATTATGTATCCTCGTGAGATAAATAATACAATTTCACACATTTTGAAATCTAGAAAAATGACTTTTCTCTCTCAACCTAAAACATAGTATATACTCAGTAAATCTTTGTTAGGTAATAGCAAAGCCAAGATTATTTTATGACTACCTAGTACTGACTTTGGCATTCAATGTAGAAGGAAAGCATAGTCTAAAAAAAAAAAAAAAGACATCAATTACCTTTTCAGTGCCTCTTTTCTTTTCCCGAGGCTGATTAAGTTTTGCCTGTCTATCAACCAAAATCTTCTGCCAATATCTTTGTTCGTGATCACCTTAAAAACAAACAAAAACTCTGATGGATTAAAAGAACATATCTAAAAACCATATTCAAGGCATTACATTCTCAATAACAGAACTAGGATAGTTGTTGGATTATATTTAATCCTACTTAATACATATTACAGAATAGAAAACAGATGATTAGTTTCACTGGGAGTGGTGGCTCACGCCTCTAATCCCAGCACTTTGGGAGGCAGAGGCGGGGAGATCACCTGAAGTCAGGAGTTGGAGAACAGCCTGGCCAACAGGGTGAAACCTCATCTCTACTAAAAATATAAAAATTGCCAGGTGTGGTGACTCACGCCTGTAATCCAAGCACTCTGGGAGGCTGAGGCGGGAGAACTGCTTGATCCACGAGGCAGAGGTTGCGGTGAGCCGAGATCACACCACTACACTCCAGCTTGGGCAATAAGAGCAAAACTCCATCTCAAAAAAAAAAAAAAATAGCCAGGCAAGATGATGCATGCCTGTAATCCCAGCTACTCGGGAGGCTGAGGCAGAAGAAGCTTGAACCTGGGAATCGGTTGCAGTGAGCTGAGACTGCATGACTGCACTCCAGCCTGAGTGACAGAGCAAGATTAAAAAAAAAAATTACTAGTTTCATTAGCCAAACTGAGAAAATATATTACCCACAATAAGGAAAAGAGAAACTTCTATGAAGTTTTACCAGAAAGGATCTCGAGTTTCCAGCAGTGTTTCTTGTTAATTTCTGTATATGCATTTATTACTGCTTGAGCATCCTCAGGAGTTTTAAATCTAGCATGGCATTCTGTATCTCCTTCCAGCAAATCAACATAAAGAACTTCTGAGATTGCTGCCAAAGTATCCTGCATTAGAGTTAAGTAGAAAGATTTAAAATAAAATAAAAAAAGTTTCACAATAATTCTAACACTATTCCAATGGTTATGCCAGAATATATTATGTAAATAAACCATTTTGTAGATTAATGAGCAAATATCCTATATCAAACATTTCTTATAAACCATGTTCTTAAAAATATATTTGAATAAAAAGGAAACCAATTAATGTTAACTCTAATAATTTATTTTCCTTTATTTTCTTTAAATCACATCCTTCAAATCTCAACTAGAATGGGACTATTCTATAAGGACAACAGATTTGTAGAGCAGAAAGTAGAAATACTGTCCCCAAACCCCTAAATCAGGAAGGGTTCACATCTGGGAGTAGTTAGTATAAGGAATAAAATTTAAAAAAAAAAGAAAAAAAAGGAATAAGGGAGAAGGTTTGTTTTTACTCACCTGCAGAAAATCACTATGACTTTAAAACATGTGTACAAATATTCAACTTTTAATAACAAATCATGAAAAAAAGTTTCACCAAACCTAAAAAAAAAATACTAGGTTTCCACATTGTTTAAGAGCTCTTACTTTCTGAAAAAAATACCAAAGTAACCTCTTCTAAACAATTTGTGGTCACCCAGCAAAGAAAACTTTTACCTACACTGCCTGCTGTGAGGGCAAATTAACCAGATTCCTGCATTCTTAATCAACTTTTTTTTTTTCCCAGCAGGTTTTACAGAGTACACAATGCATTTATGCAGGAATGTTACACTAATTCCCAGTTCATCAACTTCCATTCACAAAGCTGAAAGAAATAACTGGAGATCCCTAAACAGGAGAAAAAAATATTATTTATCTTGCCTTCCTTGAGTTTTAACCTAAATTTTCAAGACACAACTAATTTAGATTACTTTCAGATGCTGAATTTTTAGATGTTTGAATTATGGAAAAGAATTGAGCAATATCTGGGAGTATTATTTCATCATAGAATAAGAAAAATTTATTAGTATATAATAAAGAATATATAATAAAATCTGTGAGTTTCTAGAAGCCAGGGACTAGATCTTAACTCATCTTAACATTCAGCAAACTATCAGGAAACAGGCATTTAGTAACTGTTTGCTGAATCAATTAAAAAAAAAAGAACTGCAGAGAAATATATTTGCTAGTCCTTCCAACTTCATCTAGTTATTTAGTATCAAGTTTAGATATAAAGCAAGTAAAAAATTCAGTATTAAATTGGTGAAATTTGACTGTGTTCACTAGCAGTAATGAGTTTTATAACTGACTTTTGAGCAGATTCAATTACTACAACTCAAAAGATATTTACTAAATATCCATTATAATGTCAGGCTAATCTCTTGATTTAAAACTCTTAGAATTTAAAACCCATAGATTGACAAATTAGCCTGGTAATCACATGGGCAAGTCACAGACAGCTGTAACCACCAGCAAAGCTCAGTTTTTGTTTCAGCAAAATGTAAGTAACTACTTAACTGGATTAATGCAGGGACTGACTTTATGATTTTGATGATCATAAATGATGAATTTGTAATTGATATAGAAGTTATTTAATAAATAACTTGATATAAATTGATATAGAAGTTATTTATAAAATAATAGAAGTTATTTAATAAGTGATTCCAAATAACACTGAGTAATTTTTGTATTAAAACTTCTGCAATCTGACTAACCACAGCAGCATTTACATCCCTCAATTTTCAGTGTTCTCCTGAATTGCAACCTGGTAACAGCAAACTGGGTTTGGCCAAATCCTTCACCAATATTGGAAAGAGAATCAAAATTTGTGTTTTAGTGACACCTACAAGATTGCAGGATACTTCTTATCTGCAGATTCAGATAAGGAGTTCTTACAGGTTAACAACCACCACAGTGATATTCAAGTTAAAACCTGTACTGATATGAGTCTATGTAAAATAAAAACAATATACTAAGTGATGATGAATATCAGTAAAATAAAATATTTAAAAGGATTCACATTTTAAAAGGGTGACAGGCAGGGTTGGTGTAAATAAAACATGGTACTCTCACACAAAAGTGTATGATTTCCTTAACAGAAAGAAGTATTGCTATCATTGTGGTATAAAAGGTATAGGAGATGGACTGTATAAAGTGAAAAAGGATTAAAAAACCTGTGTGTACAGCAATTCGTAGCATAGTTCTGTATTACAGAACTATGGATTTACTGGCAGTTGCATGCAACATTTTTATAGGTTTTTCATAAGTATTTTATACTTTTCTATAATTAAATTTTTAAAGATAATCAGCACATGGATAATACAAAAAAAATTGCTAATAAAAAGAAGCAAAAGTTATAATTTTCCTATAGAGAAGGATGTTTAAATTGTGCTTACTATAAAACTGATTCAGTGATGTCAGATTTTGCTTCAAAATTAAACCAGAGTTACCATGGAATCAAAATTGTACAGGTAGTTTACCATAGAGGTACAAATTCTAATTTAATTTGTTTTGTCTTCCATATTCAAAATATTATCACACAGGGAAGTTAATAAGAAAAGAAAGGAACAAATGCCCTAGGGGATCAAAATCATTACCCGGACTTGTTTCCTGCCAGGTAGAGGCTCTGTGCTAATGATCTTCACAATCACTCCACTCACGAACTGTGGTCCTGATGCATTAACTTTCTCCTGGGTGCGACACTCTTCACTGCTGTCTGTTGATTAGGAAAGGAAAAAGACCAGGACTTAATCTCTTACAATTAACAATTTAATACCTATGACGACCTTAGAATAATTTGAGGCAAATTTAAATAATTTAAAACATGTTTAATTTTAAAATAAGCAATTAAAGGCTATTTTATATGTCATACTGCTTACTTCAAAATACGATGAAATAAAATTCAGCAAGTTTTATTATTCTACATTCAAACTGTTACTGCTAGAAGAGCATCCATAAAGCCTTTAAAATAGCCCCTCTGAACACAGGAACAGCAAATTTTGACTCAAAAAAGTTAAAAATTGTTACAGGATACTGTATTTTAAATACATTATTATTAAAATGTGAACATTTATTTTCATAAGAAATGAGAATTTAAATGCATCCTAATTTTGAATTCCTAAGCATCTTGCTTTAACGTGTTCCTGCTTGTGGTTCATACTGCAGAACGAAATTACAGGTGAGAAACTACAATCTTCATTCCTGCAAACTTGCTCAATCTACACAGTCTACACTCATCTGATTAATAATGAAAACTGTAGAGAAAACTCGGGTTATTTAAAAAATTGTTAAAAATGAGCCTTTTAAATATTCTTATATCTAGAGTAAATCACACATCTGGATAACTTAGCAAATCAAGAATTGTTCTAATAATGACATGGAATAATCAAGTTTTTTAAAATTAAAGTTCATCCTGTAACAATTCAGAGATAGCATTTTCATATATATTATAATGCTGCCAAAACTATCAGTCACCTTTACTTTTTTCATTTTTTATTTCAGTCTTTTGAGGTACTCCACTGTCTGTTTCCATTTCTGACTCTGATTTTATTTGAGATATTGTTTTTTTTAAAGAAGCCATGCTAGCTTTTTGTAGTGCTAAATACTCTTTTTTCAAATCCATCCATTCGCTCCTGCAAGAAAAGAAACAAAATAGTGACAACAGATGACTAAATATAAAAAGTAAATATGGAAATATCTAAATAAATACATTCACAATGACTTGGAGCAACTCCTACCAACTTTACAGTTTCTTTAAACACAAATTAAAAATATTTCCTGGGTTCTACAGCCATTTAGCTGGCAAAAAGGCAAAGGGAGTTCCCTTCCCCCAAGATTCAGATTAAATGTTTTAAGACTGCCAATTAAATTTCTGAGTTGTCAAGTATTTTAATTTATGAAAGTACAATTTCAGTGTCAATTCCTTAATTAACTAGTAACATTGACTAGTATCAGTCACATCTGTGAGAAAAGTGAGAGATTAAACATTTGTTAAACTGCTTCCAATTTGAAAGATAACATTCCTTAGTATTTGCTTGAATAAGAAAGAAATTCTAAGCAGAACAAAACACCCCATGGAAGCAATTTATTTATTTACATACATTTAACATGTAGATGTTTCTTCAAACAGCTAGAGTTCCTCCAGACAGAAACACAATGCCTCTCAGCTCGGTGGGAGCACTTACTGTTGCCCTAATCTATGCCATCAAACAAGCAGATAGGAGATTTTTTTTTTTTTTTTAAAAAAAGAGGAAGATATCTTGTGGTAATGGTTTTAGCTGTTAACATTGACATCTGTATACTTAAAAAAAAAAAAAAGATCCAGACCCACCCAGGATCATACATTCTCTGAGAGCTGATACATTAAAATAACAAAAGGCTCTTGTAATGATTCTCTGAGATAAAAAGGCAAAAGGAATTCAGGAGTTAAGAATAGTATAAATAGAAGTGGCTGAAGTCCCTGCCTTTTACCCTTCTGGAGGAGAACAGGAATCCTTGAAAACTAATTTGGGAAGGTAAAGAAAATTTTTTTCTTCGAAAGGTATGTCATTTGGTTTTTCTCCAGCTTTAACTACTCTCAGGTCCAAAGAAGTTTTACGTGGGTGGGCTCCCTTCAACTTTAACATGGAAGTGCTTTCTGTGACTTTAAAAGTAAGTGCTTCCATGTTTTAGTAGGAGTGAATCCAACTTATTTCTCCAAAATAGAGCATGCTAACCTCATTCTATTATAGAGGTTGAAGGGATCCCCTTTGCTTTAACATGGGGGTACCTGCTGTGTGAAACAAAAGTAAGTGCTTCCATGTTTCAGTGGAGGTGTCTCCAAGCCAGCACACCTTTTAATTGTTTTGTTGCTATATTTTAAGGTTATTTAGCTTTTGTTACAGGTTAAAGGATTCTAAGTTGGACCAAGACTGGGCTCCCCACCACTTAAACGTGGATGTACTTGCTTTGAAACGAAAGAAGTAAGTGCTTCCATGTTTTGGTGATGGTAAGTCTTCCTTTTACATTTTTATAAGCTTTTTAGGAAAGAACTTAATTGTATTAATTGTTTCTTCTATATTTGAGCTTCACTTTGTATTTTAAAGTCTGTTAAGGGACCCTCCTCTACTTTAACATGGAGGCACTTGCTGTGACATGACAAAAATAAGTGCTTCCATGTTTGAGTGTGGTGGTTCCTACATCAGCGACTGTGTTAATGCCCACTTTGTGTGCAGTTCATGGCTACAGGCCATTACTGTTGCTAATATGCAACTCTGTTGAACAAAATTGGAATTGCACTTTAGCAATGGTGATGGATTGTTAAGCCAACGACAGCAGAATTTAAACCGAAGACTTACTTTGATAGCACTCTTAATGGTATAACTTCTTCTCCCATTTTATGTCTCTCTTTATGTTTTTTCTTGTGTTTTCTTTTTGTTTTTAAGAGAGAGCTATCCTTTAGATCTCCAGTATCCTTTTCCTCTTCAGTAGAGATTTCTATATCTTGAAATAAAAAAAGTCAGTTAAGACATCGAGCTGTGAAGTGGGTGAATAGAAGCTTAATTTATCTAATTAAAACCTTGGAGATTTACCTCTATTTTCTCTGGAGACTTCTGAAGCTTCCTTAACCATGTCTTTCTGAGTAATTTTCTTTATTTTTGATCGTGGAGCTAGGGATTCTGCATCTTCAGAGCCACTTCTCTTCCTCTTCCCTGTTCTGGCTTCAGGTAAGCTGGATACTTCAACTTTATCCCGTTTTTTCTTTTTCTTTGAAGGCTGCTTTTGGGTTTCAGGAGACTCTAGATCAGAGCCCTCAGATGTGGGTCTGGATCTTTTCATTTTACTGACGCTGGTGTTGCTTGTGTCCATGTTTTCCTCTTTGGCTTGGACATTGTCTTCCTTCTTAATTCGGCCTTTCTTCTTCTTTTTCTTTTTCTTTTCTTCTGTAAAAATGCCATCATTAGTTTCATCATACTGCAACTACATCTATTTAAATATTGAAAAATACTCACCTACAACTCTTAAGGCTGGAATGGGCTTATTTTTCACTGTTTTAGGAAATATGCCAGGTTTTCTTGGTGCTTCTTCTGGTGGGTTGTTAAGAAACTGAAATGATTGCAAAAAAGTTTTAGTATTTTGATACTTGTTATTATATTTTCTTTTTTTTTCCTTTTTAGGATCTGGACCTACCTCAATTGCTTTTGCTGCTTGTTCTTTTGTTTCAAATTCTACAAATGCAAATCCTTTTGGATCTCCAGTAGACTTATAATGTGGTATACTTATATAAACCACATTGCCACATTTCCCAAAGACCCTTTCAATCCAACTGTGATTAACATTTTTGGGAAGTAACTCCTAGGATAAATTAGAAGCAACATTAGTTTTTCACAATCCTTATTTTCAGAATGTCAATAAATTTTCATTTTAACTATGCTTCTATGTCGGTTTCTGACTGGGGATCTGGACCCTTGCTTACCACATACACAGTGCGCTCATCCTCATCCTTTGGTCTTTCCCCCAGAGGTTTTTTTCTCCTGATTCTGGTGCCTTCCAAATCAAGCTTTAAAACAGTACATTACATTAATAAAACTATAATTAGGGGATATAATAAAACTGCAGTCATTCTTAATTCTTACCTCTACAACAGCTGAACTTCTCAATGCTCTGGCAATTAACTTCCCATCAGTAGTCAATTTTTTCATTTTGTTAAATGACACAAGTAGTGATATATCAACATCTAATGAAAATGAAAACAATGATAGTGTTAGTATATCAACAGGTTTAACCTGCCCCTCAGGCTGGACATGGTGGCTAAAGCCTATAATTATAGCACTTTCAGAGGCTGAGGCGGGTAGATTTCCTGAAGTTAGGAGTTGAAGACTAGCCTGGCCAACCTGGTGAAATCCCAACTCTACTAAAAATATAAAAAATTAGTTGGGTGCAGCGGCAAGTGCCTGTAATCCCAGCTACTCTGGAGGCTGAGGTAAAGGAACTGGTTGAACCTGGGAGGTGGAGGCTGCCATGAGATCACACCACGGTACTCCAGCCTGGGAGACAGGGATACTTCATGTAGGAAAAACAACCCCCTCTGTGCCATTTAGCATTATTAATTAGTATTGTGTGAGGGGGTATTAGGTATAAGGTCCAAAATGGTATTGCATATTTGGCAGGCCTAAAATGTCACATTTTAGTGTATGTAATTGGATATTAAGATTTAAACAAATTATTGCTTAGCAATATCTAGACATTCTAAGGATATCTGGATCCCATTCTCTTACTAAAAATGCCAGAAAAAAAAATTAGCTGGCATGGTGATGTCTGCCTGTTGTCCCAGCTATTGGGGAGGCTGATGTTGGAGGATTGCCTGAGTGGAGCTGAGGGGCTGGAGATGGGGGGCAGAGGTTGGAATGAGTAGACAAGGAGTCTGTGCATTCCAGCCTAAGGAAAAAAGATAGATCTTGCCTCAAAAAAGTTTTTAAGAAAGTGAAACAAAAAATGACATTAAGCTAGGTGAAATGCCTTACTATATGAAGTAAGTATAGCACTGTCATCTCCAGTTACACATGATAAATAATTACTGAAGCAATTAAATTTCAAAATACTTAAAAAGATAAGCTTTGATTTGAAATTGCTAATTTAATATAGCCTAAACTCTTACCAAGAGTCTAACTATTTAGAAGACTGTCATTCACTAAATAAAAATTAAGACAGATTGTAAGAAACATTTGCAGAAATGAATATATACACTATAGAATACACGATTTTAGGCTGGGCATGGTGGCTCATGCCTGTAATCCCAGTACTTTGGGAGGCCAAGGCAGGCAGATCACAAAGTCAGAAGTTCGAGACCAGCCTGGCCAACCGTGAAACCCCATCTCTACTAAAAATACAAAATTTAGCTAGGCATGGTGGCGTGCGCCTGTAGTCCCTACTAGGGAAGCTGAGGCAAGAGGATCGCTAGAACCTGGGAGGCGGAGGTTGCATGACCTAAGACTGCACCACTACACTCCAGCCTGGGCAACAGAGCAGGACTCCGTGTCAAAGAAAAAAAAAAAAAAGGAAAAAAAAAAAAAGAATATCCTACTTTATAAGTAAATTCAGAGGCAACCATTATCTAAAAGTTGGTTCCTTTACTGAAGCAAACTTACATCCATCTCTAGATTTTTCTATCTGTTCTCGAAGAAATCTATCCTTGTGAAGATTTGCATCCCCAAACCAGAAGTCCACTTGCTTAGCAATATCTGCAAGCACCTGTTTAACTCGTGACCGTTTCTTTTTTTCAACTTCTTTTTTCTTTTCAGTGCTTTCTTCTTCCATTATCTTTTCTTGATTTTCACTTTCAGTTTCCATTCCTGTGCATTACAGGAAAAAGAGGTAAATACTTAAATCAGCAAAACAGCTAATATAGTTTAATTTAGAGTAGCCTTTAATTGTCTGAGAGAATCATTTGGCTGTCAGAAGACAAAAGGAAAATTTATTTTTACATTTAATAATTTAAGTTATAAAATAATTTACCTCCTATGTTAGAAATCATGGCTTTAGTTTTTTTGCACCTTTTAAAATGCAGGGCCGCCGGGTGTGGTGGCTCAAGCCTGTAATCCCAGCACTTTGGGAGGCTGAGGCGGGCGGATCACGAGGTCAAGAGATCGAGACCGTCCTGGTCAACATGGTGAAACCCCATCTCTACTAAAAATACAAAAAATTAGCTGGGCATGGTGGCACGTGCCTGTAATCCCAGCTACTCAGGAGGCTGAGGCAGGAAAATTGCCTGAACCCAGGAGGTGGAGGTTGCGGTGAGCCGAGATCGCGCCATTGCACTCCAGCCTGGGTAACAAGAGCGAAACTCCGTCTCAAAAAGAAAAAAAAAAAAAATAAATAAAATAAAATGCAGGGCCAGATTATTCTAGTATAATATAACAATTACACCGTTATCTCACTAAACTGTACTTTTAAGCCAGTAAATGAAAAGTGCATTAAGGAAACTGGATACTTTCCATCACAACAACCACCCTCCCCCGCCAAATAAGTTTTATTCCCTTTTTTTTCTTTCTTTTTTTTTGAAATGGAATTTCACTCTTGTTGCCCAGGCTGGAGTGCAATGGTATGATCTTGGCTCACTGTCACTTCCGTCTCCTGGGTTCAAGCAGTTCTCCAGTTTCAGCCTCCTGTGTAGCTGGGAATTACAGGCACCCACCACTACCCCCGGCTAACTTTTGATATTTTTGGTAGAGACAGGGTTTCACGATGTTGGCCAGGCTGGTCTGGAACTCCTGACCTCAGGTGACCTGACCGCCTTGGCCTCCCAAAGTGCTGGGATTACAGGCATTAGCCAGTGTGCCCGGCCTATTCAGATTTTTAATACTATAACCTTTATGGGACAAAATAAAAATAAACTGATTATTGATTTTGATTTTTAAAATGTTAATTTATACTTTCTAGAGGCAGAATTCAACTGGTAAGCTATAGAAATCAGCCTTTCCTTTTTTCTTTCCATGTTTATTTATTGGGCAGCAATTTATTTATTTATTTATTTATTTATTTATTTATTTTTTTTGAGACGGAGTTTCGCCCTTGTTACCCAGGCTGGAGTGCAATGGCGCGATCTCGGCTCACCGCAACCTCCGCCTCCTGGGCTCAGGCAATTCTCCTGCCTCAGCCTCCTGAGTAGCTGCGATTACAGGCACGTGCCACCATGCCCAGCTAATTTTTTGCACTTTTAGTAGAGACGGGGTTTCACCATGTTGACCAGGATGGTCTCGATCTCTCGACCTCGTGATCCACCCGCCTCGGCCTCCCAAAGTGCTGGGATTACAGGCTTGAGCCACCGCGCCCGGCTATTTATTTTTATTTATTTATTTTTAATCTTTTTTTTTTTTTTTTTTTTTTTAGACGGGTTTCACCATGTTTGTCAGGCTGGTCTTGAACTCTCGACCTCAGGTAATCCGCCTGCCTTGGCCTCCAAAATGCTTGGATTATAGGCGTTAGCCACCACGCCCAACCTCCTTGGCAGCAATTTCTAACCCCCTCCTTCCTCAAGTTACTTTGTGTATCTGTATCTCTTCTCCTTTGCTTTGTCAGCTCCAGTCATACTGTCCTTCTTGTACTTCCTGAAGCTTACCCAGGTCTAAACCTGTTCTCCCTGAAACACATATCCCCAGAGATAACACAGCTAGCTCTCCTACCTCCTCAAGTGTCTATTTAAAGGTCACCTCACTGAGGTCTTCTCCCACAACCATATTTTAATAATGCAAATTTCTGGACACATGCACGGTAACTTTCATGTCTTATTTTTGTCTATAGCATTTATCATCTAACATTACTACAATTACTATGCAATTTATTTTATTTCCTAGAATGTAAGAGCAATGAAATCAGAGATTTTTGTCTGTTTTGTTTACTGATAGATTGTCAGTTCCTGCTACAACAGTCCCTTAAAAATCTGTTGAATAAATTGTGCCTAGATTTTGTTGAATGAATTGAATCACTAGAGGTATATGAGCAAAGGATTAATATCAGGTCTGGAATAATACAGCCTGCTTGAGAATAACCTCAGTCTCCCATAATACAGTCTTCTTGGAAACTGGAGAGACTTAACGGTGAGTGTTGTATCTGTTTCCCGTGGTGCACCTGGTTTGAAGCAGCTATTGAATGGCATGGAGGCCTTATACCTATGTGACTGGAACAGATTGACAGGCAAAAGGTGTTAAAGCTTTTATGTGTTAAAAGTATCCTAAACACACCTTGGTCCTTATCTAGGGAAGCCATACATGCCTCTTGTGGGTAAATGGGAGAAAAAAGAAGTGAATCTGGGTAATTGCTAGATACAATGGCTTGGTCTCTGCTGGGATGAAGAAGCTATACCTACTCTATCTTTTGCCTTGTATCTTTCTTTGGTAAACATAGTATTTGAATCTCTTGAGTCTGACTGCTGATTAGAATCTCTAACTGCCTCAGTGATTTTGCTGATAGTAACAGAAATCATGTGTTTCAAAGTGATATTCGGTAAGAGGGGCCAAAGCCCTTAATGCATTTCACCTCAAATCTCCAACTAAACATGCATTCTCATCAACAGAAGGACATTTTAGCATTTTAGAACAGGCTTCAGTAGATCAGTCAAGCACCAATTCTGAAGATATACAAGTAATATCATATTTAGGTGATGGTAATTTATGACACAAAACACAGCTACAGGTCAGAATAATATTAAAAAAAGAAAAAGAAAAGAAAAACAATCAGGTGTCATTAAGTACCACATAACCACGTTCTTCACCTAATGGTCTTACTTCAACCCATTCTGTCAGGCTTTCCTCTGCACCATTCTAGAGAAACTGCAAAGTCCTCAATGAGCTCCACTGTCTACTTGACCTCTCAGCAGCAAATGCAGTTGGTAACTTCCTCCTTGACAATACTTTCTTCAGCTGGGCATGGTGGCTCACACCTGTAATCCCAGCACTTTGGGAGGCTGACTACAGATGCCTGCCACCATGCCTGGCTAATTTTGTATTTTTAGTAGAGATGGGGTTTCACCATGTTAGTCAGGCTGGCCTTGAACTCCTGACCTCAGGTGATTCACCCACCTTGGCCTCCTTCAACTTATTTAAGGATGCCATATTCCACCAAATTAACCAATCAAGCTATTGATTGGCTGTGTGGATAAAAATCATACCTATGTAATAGAGTTGTTAGCATTAGCCACAATAATGAAAATAAAGCACTTCAAATTGCTGATACATAGAACACAATAAGTAACCATTATTCTATCCAATGTGTTGTTAAATTTTATCAGTTTGAGCCAGGTGCGGTGGCTCAAGCCTGTAATCCCAGCAGTTTGGGAGGCCGAGGCGGGTGGATCACGAGGTCAAGAGATCGAGACCATCCTGGTCAACGTGGTGAAACCCTGTCTCTACTAAAAATACAAAAATTAGCTGGGCGTGGTGGCGCCTGCCTGTAATCCCAGCTACTCAGGAGGCTGAGGCAGGAGAATTGCTTGAAAATTGCTTGAACCCAGGAGGCGGAGGTTGCGGTGAGCCGAGATTGCGCCACTGCACTCCAGCCTGGGTAACAAGAGCGAAACTCCGTCTCAAAAAAAAAAAAAAAAAATCTCATCAGTTTGACTTTTGAAAAGGCTCTCATCTCCATCCAGTGTTTTCTACAACTACTGTCACTAGAATATGGCAATAGTTTATAAACTGTTCTGTAAGGCATCTATTTGCAACAGGAGCCTATGTATAACCCATCTAAAACACAGACGTGGTTTTGTGATGCTTATGTCAAAACATGCAACATTAGAAATTCCTTAGCATCTTCCTGTAACATAATACACAGTTTAAGAAAACATTGCTAAAAAAAAAGTAACATTTAACTGGACTAAAAGTTACTGTGTAACAACACCAGTTACTTTATATACATTTTTGTAAATCCTCACAATCCCACTAGGCAGCAGTTTCTTCCTTTTTTTTTTTTTTTAAGGCAGAGTCTTGCTCTGTCACCCAGGGTGGAGAACAGTGGCACAATCTCAGCACACTACAACCTCCGCCTCTGGGATGCATGGCTAATTTTTGTATTTTTAGTAGAGACAGGGTGCCATGTTGGTCAGGCTGGTTCTTCCATCTTCTTAATATAAAGAATCAAAGGTTAAGTGACTTGGTCAAAGCTAGCTAAGTAAGCTGTCTCAGGTATGTTTGATCCCAGATTGTCTACCTTTTGATTGAATTTCCTGCAATTTATCACCATGGATTCTATGTTCTGACTCAGGAATTCTTTTTTTTTTTTTTTTTTTTCAGGCAGAGTTTTGCTTTTGTTTCCCAGGCTGGAGTGCAATGGTGCGATCTCGGCTCACCGCAACCTCCGCCTCCTGGGTTCAGGCAATTCTCCTGCCTCAGCCTCCTGAGTAGCTGGGATTACAGGCACGCACCAACATGCCCAGCTAATTTTTTGTATTTTTAGTAGAGATGGGGTTTCACCATGTTGACCAGGATGGTCTTGATTTCTTGACCTTGTGATCCACCCAGCTCGGCCTCCCAAAGTACTGGGATTACAGGCTTGAGCCACTGCGCCCGACCAGGAAGTCTTTTTTTAAAACAATTTTTTTATAAAGACGAGGTTTCACCATGTTGGTCAGGCTGGTCTTGAACTCCTGACCTCAGGTGATTCGCCCGCCTTGGCCTCCAAAGTGTTTGGATTACAGGCGTGAGCCACCATGCCCGGCTTGACTCAGGAATTCTTTTTTTTTTTGAGACGTAGTTTAGCTCTTGTTACCCAGGCTGGAGTGCAATGGCATGATCTCGGCTCACCACAACCTCCGCCTCCTGGGTTCAGGCAATTCTCCTGCCTCAGCCTCCTGAGTAGCTGGGATTACAGGCATGCACCACCATATCCAGCTAACTTTTTTTGTATTTTTAGTAGAGACAGGGTTTCACCACGTTGACCAGGATGGTCTCGATCTCTTGACCTTGTGACCCACCTGCCTCGGCCTCCCAAAGTGCTGGGATTACAGGCTTGAGCCACCACGCCCGGCCCCGACTCAGGAATTCTTAACCTGAAGTCCACGCAACTTTGGACAAGAATTCTTGGGCGCTCCATTAAACTGTTAAATGATACATTTTAAAGATAAGGTAAAACAAAGAGTCTTGTACAAATGTAAAATGAATTCATGGTAAAGATTTAAGCACAGTCATGGGTTGCTTAACGACAGGGACACATTCTTAGAAATGCAGTCAGGTGATTGTGTAAGTACGTTACAGAGCGTGCAGTTATTCTATGATGTATTCACACAAACCTAGGGAGTATCAGCTACTACACACTTACAAATTTTATGAGACCACTGTCACACATGTGGTCTGTTGGTATGTGGTGCCTGACTGTAAACGAGGAAACCAGTTAAATGTTAAAAACCAGTTCAGGCTGGCCGTGGTGGCTCACAGCTATAATCCCAGTACTTTGGGAGGTCGAGGTGGGTGATCACCTGAGGTAGGAGTTCAAGACCAGTAGGACCAACATGGAGAAACCCCATCTCTACTAAAAATATAAAAATTAGCTGGGCGTGATGGCGCATGCCTATAATCCCAGCTACTGAGGAGGCAGAGGCAGGAGAATCGCTTGAATCCAAGAGGCGGAGGTTGCGGTGAGCCGAGATTTTGAGATTGCACTCCAGTCTGGGCAAACAAGAGCAAAACTCTGTCAAAAAAAAAAAAAAAAAAAAGGCAGGTACATAATCAGAAACGTTGAAATAAGTATCAATACTGGTAAGGACAATAATTAATTGCATCTTTACTGGACAAACCTAATTTCCATATTGCTTTCTACAAGTTGAACAGTTGTAAAACAGTTAAAAGATTATACATAGATAACCTGGAAAAGTGAGCCTGACACCAAGACATTTGTGTGTATGTGTGTTTGCTATTTAAAAGTATTTAGTAATTTTTTCTGAGGAAATTATACGGATTCTTGCTGTTGTCATCCAGGCGGGAGTGCAATGGTGCGATCTCAGCTCACTGAAACCTCTGCCTCCCGGGTTTCAGCAATTCTCCTGCTTCCGCCTCCCAAGTAGCTGAGATTACAGGTGCCTGTCACCACACCCCCAGCTAATTTTTGTATTTTTACAAAAGATACAGGATTTCGCCATGTTGGCCAGGCTGGTCTTGAACTCCTGACCTCAGGTGGTCCACCAGCCTCGGCCTCCCAAAATGCTGGGATTACAGGCGTAAGTCACCGTGCCTGGCCTAAAATGTTTATTTTGTTCTGAGATGGAGCCTTGCTCTGTCGCCCAGGCTGAAGTGCAGAGGCACGACCTCGGCTCACTGTAATCTTTGCTTCCTGGGCTCAAGAGATTCTCCTACCTCAGCCTCCTGAGTAGCTGAGACTACAGGCATGCATCACCACTCTTCGCTAATTCTAGGGTTTTTAGTAAAGACGGTGTTTTGCTATATTGACCAGGGTGGTCTCAAACTCCTGTGATCCGCCCACCTTGGTCTCCCAAAGTGCAGTGATTACAGGTGTCAGCCACCGTGTCAAGCCTCGCAAAATGTTTTAACAGGTGAACATGTACGTTTTCCTAAGAAACTAATCCATAACGTTTACTATGTTTTCAAAAGTGTGCCAAAACCAGGTTAAGAATCATTGGTCTAGTCACTGCCTACAATTCAAATCCTTCAACACTCAGTGGCCTGCGTCTTTTACCTTGTCTGAATCTTCTCATCTCAATTTCCTTATTACATTTTTAAGACCCAGGTTAAATGGCAGCTTACTCTTTGAGGTCTTCCACCACGTGTTCTCTAATTAATTGCCTCATTTGTTTTCTCTAAGTTTCTTTACTAACGCACTCTGTATAACGTATCTAGCATTTATTGTTAGTTCCCTTCCATAACTGGACTTTTAACTCTTTGAGGACGATGGCAGAGTCCTGCAAAAGAAGATGATAATTTTAGAATACATATCCTCACGTTCGTTATCCTCTGGCAGCCATAGCTCAGCTCCAATTTGCGAAATAAGGCACTCTCTTTACCGACTACTGCTTCTGTCGGCATCCGTACTTCCGCACGGACGCCGTCATTTTCTGGGCGCGCCCCAAACCTCCCCACGCAGGGTCCCTAAGCGCCCCCACTCTCTGACAACGGGAACTACAAATGCTGCCGGAGGACTTCGGCGCGTGCGCATAGAGAACTTGGCCAAGGAGCAGGAGAGCGCGTGAAGGGGGCGGGGTAAGGACAACAGATGAAAGAGTAGACCGCGAGAAAAAGGACGGATTTATTTAGAGTTCGCGCAAGCTCAGCGACCCTACAGGCCGCCTGCAACTTACTCCGTTCAACTCCCAAAATACAGGGTCAAGTACTGCGGCCTTCAGTCCTTTCAGTCTCCTGATCCCGACAGTCTTGGTTACTTTCGCGTCATAGGACAAGCGACAACGTTCTCCGGTCCCAGTCGAGAAAGACGGGCCCCGAGGCCGTGCGCGCGCCACCTACGTCACAGGCGAGGTGGTTCCGGGAGGGCGGGGCATCGGAGAGCGCGGCCGGCTGAGGGGCTCGAAGCCGAGGAAGAACATGATTGGCGGGTTGAAAGTGGCGGGTTTTGGCTGAGACAGAGGTGGGCGGGCTAAATCTTGGGTCCTCATCTGCTGCGGTCCCGCGTTAATGACGTCACGTCGTTTCGCGGGAGAAATTCGAAAGTGGATTTTGTGGAATTTGACAGGTGAGGTAAAGTGTTTCTTGGGATTTCCTAGGAATGGAAGGTAAATAGGCAGGGAGACTTAGGGGATTTGGGGCTAAGGGACGAAAGACTCTACTCCATAAGAGAACCGGGAGGGATACTATTTGGAATCAGGATTATGGTGGTCGCAGCTGCTCGAACTGCTTGTAAAAAGCTCTTCTTCACCGCTTTTCCCAGGGCCTGCTTTGTAGTTTAGAGTGTGTATGAGGACCAAAGAGGGTTTTGCTGTTTGTATTTAGGACCGAGAAAGGATCAAGTCTCCATTGTCATTTGGTGACACAGGATTATGGTTATTAGAATCTTAGAAAATGAGATGTGGATTTCCCTTTTTTTTTGAGACTGAGTCTCGCTCTCTGGAGTGCAGTGGCGCGATCTTGGCTAACTGCAAAACCTCCACTTTCAGGGTTCAACCAATTCTCTGCCTCCGCCTTCCGAGCAGCTGGGATTACAGGTTCCTGCCACCACACCCAGCCAATTTTTGTATTTTAATAGACACGAGGTTTCACCATGTTGGCCAGGCTGGTCTCGAACTCCTGACCTCAGGTGATCTACCTGCCTTGGCCTCCCAAAGCGCTGGCATTACAGGCATGAGCCACCGTGCCCGGCCTGCACTTCACTCATTAATTGCATTAGTGCGCCCTCATCAGTCTTATCAGTTCCTGTTTGGGAAGACCTTCATTGGCTTTCCTTTGACTAATAGTTATTTTAGCTTACAACTTAGACTTTGCTTCCTTGAAGAAGGCTTGTTTGATGATCCACACCAAGCCAGGTGCCCTTCCTGTGCTTATTCCTGCCATGTTTTATTAAAATTACTGTTTATCACCCTGCCATACTGAAATTCCTTGAGATGAAGGATGGAGATTCCATTTAAATATTTTAGCCTAGCATAATGTCTGGCACGTCTGAATAAATGTATATAACTTATAAATAATATGTAAGTGGCATATTTTATATGTCTAAAGGAGGAACTGAACTGAAATTACAAATGATAGCTTTATTGAACCCTTCTAGGTTTTTAAGGTTTGTATTCTCAAACTTTTTTTTTTTTTTTTTTTTTTTTTTTGAGATGGAGTTTCGCTCTTGTTACCCAGGCTGGAGTGCAATGGGGCAATCTCGGCTCACCGCAACCTCCGCCTCCTGGGTTCAGGCAATTCTCCTGCCTCAGCCTCCTGAGTAGCTGGGATTACAGGCACACGCCACCATGCCCAGCTAATTTTTGTATTTTTAGTAGAGACGGGGTTTCACCATGTTGACCAGGATGGTCTCGATCTCTTGACCTCGTGATCCACCCGCCTCAGCCTCCCAAAGTGCCGGGATTACAGGCATGAGCCACCGTGCCCGGCTGTATTCTCAAACTTGAGTGTCCATCACCATCACTTGGAGGGCTTCTTAAAATACAGACTGTTGGGCCCCCAAGCCTAGACTTTCTGATTTAATAGGTCCCCTCCTTCCTTCCTTCCTTCCCTCCCTCCTTTTCCCCCTTCCCCCCTCCTTCCTTCCTTCCTCCCTTCCTTCCTTCCTTCCTCCCTTCCTTCCTTCCCTCTTCCCCCTCCTTCCCCCCTCCTTCCCCCCTCCTTCCCCCCTCCTTCCCCCCTCCTTCCCCCCTCCTTCCCCCCTCCTTCCCTCCTTCCCTCTTTCCTTCCCTCCTTCCCTCCTTCCCTCCCTCCTTCCCTCCCTCCTTCCCTCCCTCCTTCCCCCCCTCCTTCCCTCCCTCCTTCCCTCCTTCCTTCCCTCCTTCCTTCCTTGTTGCCCAAGCTGGAGTGCAATGGTGTGATCTTGGCTGACTACAACCTCCGCCTCCCAAGTAGCTAGATTGCAGGCATGCGCCACCACGCCTGGCTAATTTTTGTACTTTTGGTAGAAACAGGGTTTCACCATGTTAGCCAGGCTGGTCTGAACTCCTGATCTCAGATGATCTGCCCACCTCGGCCTCTCAAAGTGCTGGGATTACAGGCATGAGCCAGATGATACTGTTGGTCCAGGGGTCACATCTTTAGCACCACTTTAGGAACAAAAAAAAGAAAGTATGTTTCTTTGGCATTTCTGTTTACTTCTTCAGGTCCTCATCAGTGATTTTAGATTTCCAAATTTGCCCATAATAACAATTTTGTCCAATAGCATAGCATAACTACAGTAACTGTTACAACAGTGTTGGAAAGATTTTTCCTTGCAGAGGTACTATATAATATATATTTGGTGCTAGATAACTGTGGCATATTGATGTAAGATGTGAAAGGAAAAATTTAAAACACAAGGGGGCCATCTTGTGGTGGCTATAGCAATTAAGAAAACTATAAAATTAAATTTGGCCTATAAGGAACCAAGCGTGGAGGACAAATTCGTGTTTTCTGATACATATTATGGCACCTGGAAAAATGTTTGCAGACTACGAATTAGTTTGTATATTTTACTTAGTTTTTTCTTGTGAAAAAATTCTTGTTTCATAGCATTATATCACTTTTACTGTGTCCTCAGTGATAGATAATTTTATTACAACTCTGTTTCCCTTCGTAGTTAGGTAGTCTTGGAATTCATTGATTCATGTCTGTCTGTGGTCAAGAGTTTATTGAGAAAAATTATATTTGATACTTTAAAAAAATCAAGGTTGATAGTTTAGTCATTTTTAATTTTAGGTGGTATAAATAGTTGAATAACTACTTCCTATTTTCTGGACCCAGCGGTTTATAACTTCAGAAGAAATGATGGAAAGCCAAGAATTTATTGTAAGTTTTACCATTTTTCACAGTTAAAATGCCCTTCCTCTCTTCCGTTCTTCCTTCTTTCTTTTAAAAGTGCTTCACAAACATCTTGCTGTATTGCCAGATTTAGCAAAAACAAAACAAAAAACAGGCTACTAAGTTAAATTTGAATTTCAGATAAACAATGCATACGTTTTTTGGCATAAGGATGTCCCAAATATTGCACTGTGTTTTATCTGGCAACCCTATCTGTTACCTGCTATTTATATTTGTTACACAAAATCATCACTTTTCAGCCTTTTGGCTAAGATTAAGTATTAGAAAAAGTCCTTTGTAACCTATTCTTTGGAAGTGTAAGACCAGGAAACAATTTCTTCTCTTAAAGAACTGGCATGCCTCTTCTGTACAGATCATTGGTTCTCACATTATTGGGTCTTAGGACTCTTTAACACTCTAGACAATTATTGACCCCAAAGAACTTGTTTATGTAGGTCTGTTGATGTTTTTCATACTAGAAATAAGTTAAAGCAGACATGTAAAAAGTATTTATGATTTGACTTAATAGAAGACAACTAGAGTCTCATATTTGTTTCTACATTCAGGTTGCAATTGAATCTTGCAATATTGCATATACATAATCCTGGGAAGCTTCATTTTGCAACCCTGAAGGAGTGAGGATGAAAAGACAGCATGGTGAAAATAGTTTTCACCTCATAGACATCTGTAAACGTTTTGGAGACCTCCAGGAGTCTCGGACCAAACTTTGAGAACTGCACAGATTATGAGTGCTATGTAACTCAGTAATTTTTTCCCTTTTCACTGATGACTAGGGAGCTCAAATTATTTTCAGTGCTCATTTATATTTTTGTTTCTTCCTTGGCTTTTCCTCTCCTTTCTTCCTTCCCCTTTCTTTTCCTCCCTTATTCCCTCCCTCTTCTTCTCCTTACCTCTCTCCTTTCCTTCCCTTTTTCTTTCTTTTTTTTTTTTTTTGAGACGGAGTTTCGCTCTTGTTACCCAGGCTGGAGTGCAATGGCGCGACCTTGGCTCACCGCTACTTCTGCCTTCTGGGTTCAGGCAATTTTTCTGCCTCAGCCTCCTGAGTAGCTGGGATTACAGGCACGCGCCACCATGCCCAGCTAATTTTTTGTATTTTTAGTAGAGACGGGGTTTCACCATGTTGACCAGGATGGTCTTGATCTCTCGACCTCGTGATCCACCCGCCTCGGCCTCCCAAAGTGCTGAGATTACAGGCTTGAGCCACCGCGCCTGGCCTCCTTCCCTTTTTCTTTCATTTAATTAATGTTTAATGTTATTGTCATATCTGTGCTTCTATTTTTAAAATTTAATAAATTGATATGGGTGTATATGCCTTTTTTTGATGAAAGGTGCCTGAAATATATTTCATATGTAGGAAGGATATATGAAATATATAACATTGAATATATATAATGGAAACCACTTTTTGTGTGCTTTTGGAAATAAGGTCCTATATACTCATCAGAAGATGAAGAAGTCAAAAGTGTGGCAAGATGGAATTCTGAAGATCACTCACTTAGGAAACAAAGTGAGTACAAAGCAGTTGACTGCAGAGTGTAAGAGTGAGGTTCTCTATTTTTGATTGAATATTTTAAAACCTGTATGTGATAAAATGTCAAATATATCCATACACTGAAATCATGTGAAAACAGATTTTCAAATGATCACCATATCACAGTGGCTAATTTGTGCATTATAAAAATCGTTCATTAATTACCTCCTGAAAAAGGGAAAAAAAAAATAGTTCACTAGGCCAGGCGCAGTGGCTCATGCCTGTAATTTTAGCACTATGGGAGGCTGAGGCAGGAGAATCACCTGAGGTTAGGAGTTCGAGACCAGCCTAGCCAACGTGGTGAAACTCCGTCTCTGCTAAAAATACAAATATTAGCTGGGTGTGGTGTGTATGCCTGTGATCCTAGCTACTCGGGAGGCTGAGGAGTTGCTTGAACGCAGGAGGCGGAGGTTGCAGTGAGCTGAGATTGCACTACTGCACTCCAGCCTGGGCAACAAAGTGAGGATCCATCTCAAAAAAAAAAAAAAAAAAACGTTCACTAATAGAATGAATAAGATCTGATGTTCAGTAGCACAGTGGAGTGACTATTTTTTTTTTTTTTTTTTTTTTTCGAGATAGAG